GTTGTGCAACCAAACCAATAAACCGAGATTCATTAAAAAAAAAAGTTTACTGTTTAAATAAATCCAAGATTAAAAATTTCAAAAGATTAAATATAGTACAAAATTTGTGATGTATATTCATTATATTTTCTTATTCAAACCCCAAAACCGAAAAACTAACAGGCTACTACGAATCTAAATGGGCTTTTAAATAATATTAACAAGTCTAGGCCCATGAACCAACTTTGGAGTTTTACAAGTCAAAAACCAAAGACATCAAAAAGGTAAACTCAGGCGTGAGCAGAGGCAGAATCAGCGGCGGCTACCGTCGTGAGTCCACTCAACAAATCCTCCGACGGCGACCCAATCAAAAGCGAGACAATCTCACTCATACTCGGCCGTTTGGCTGGATCAGGATGACAACAAGCCAACCCTAATTTCAGCAACAATTCAACTTCCTCCGTCGTCTCACACTCACTCACCACCCTCTCGTCCGCCGCTTCAACCACCCTTCCTCCGCCGTACAAATCCCTAACCCAATCCACAAGCACCATATCTTCCTCCTCCGCATACTCAATCGGCCTCCTCCCACAAACCACCTCCAGAACCACCACACCAAAACTATACACATCACTCGCCTCCGTCGGAGCCGCCGCAGACGCTAACTCCGGCGCTAAATACCCGAGCGTACCCACCACGCGCGTCGTGTTCGGAGCACCACCGTGCTCGTACAACTTGGCTAAGCCAAAGTCTCCTAACCTCCCACGCATATCGGAATCTAAAAGGATGTTACTTGATTTGATATCACGGTGGATCACAACTTGGTCCCATCCACGGTGGAGATAGTTAAGCCCTTCCGCTACGTCGTTGATCACTTGTCTCCGACGACGCCACGGCATTGGCTCTACAGGGTTATCGAAGATCCATTGGTTCAAGCTTCCGTTTGGCATGTAGTCGTAGACGAGCATGAGCTCGTTTTTCCGGCGACACCATCCTCTCAATTGAACAAGATTCTTATGCTGAAGACGACCCATGCTCGAGATTTCCGCCATGAATTCTCTTAGGCCTTGCTTCGAATCGTGGTTCACGCATTTCACAGCGATCTCGTTCTTGTTGTTCGGCAAAATTCCTCTGTAAACTTTACCAAATCCACCGGATCCAAGTAACCGATCGTTTGAGAAATCATCCGTAGCTACGGCGAGTTCTTCGTAGCTGAAACGGTGAGGCCAAAACTCCAATTCCCATTCCTCGATCTCATCTTCTTCTTCCTCTCTCATTAGCTTCCTGTAAATCAAGTAACCCCCAAATCCGAGTAGACCCACGAAGACAACACAACCTACGACGATCCCGGCGATTGCTCCGGTCGAAAGAGAGGAAGAAGACGATTGGAGAAAGAAAACCGGTAAATTCGTTGTGTTGATCTCTCGAAGAGCTCCTGTATCACTCAAGCTCCAAGCTAGAATCCTTCTCGCTTCAACCCAAGTCGTTTTCGAAGCGGAGAAGCCAACGAACATATCCGCCGACACATAATTCGCTATAACCGGATCTCGGAAGGTAAGAGTTGGCCGGAGAGGTCGAATCACACCGGCGGGGGCGATCGTAACGTTGATCTCGAAATTGGGTCCATTAAAATCGATCCAAGCTTGAACATTTTGCCCACTACGCATGTTAAAAGGAACGAAGGTTCCATTAACGGAATCGTAGTAACCAGCGGTTTCGGATTTGATGGATTCGATGTTGTTAAGGTCAATTCCGATGTGGTTCCCGTCGATATCGTTGAACTCAGGGTTTTGTCCGGTGTCGAACTCGACGGCGAGGAGAGGAGCGGTGGATCTGACGGTGGAGTTAGTGAAGAGACCGAAGTATTGGCTTGAGATAGCACCTGGAGGTGAGGTTGAGTTGGAGAGGACGAAGCAGAGGCCGAAACCAGGGCTTGTGGGTATGTCAGGGAGAACGGAGAAGACGAAGGAAGTGGAGAAAGTAGAGAGTCGGGTCGGGTTGCGGGTTGGATCTGGTATGATTGAAAGCTTTTGTGGGTAGAAAACTCGGCCAAAAGAGAACTGATTTGAGTCGTTTACGAGGCGGATTACGGTGGAGTCTACTCGAGAATCTTCGATGAGGACTAGGTCAGTCCTGTTGGTTACGGAGGTGAAGGAATTGTAGAGAAAATCAATGGC